ATGAGTCTTTGAGGCTCCTCAGAATACCGATTTTTTTTTAGGTTTTATGCCGATTTTAAAATAATCAAAATAATAACTAAATGTCAGAATTGTGAGCGTTTCCGTTTCCTTACCTTTTTTGGCTATCCAAGAAACTAGAAACAGCTAATCCGATAATTCCTAGGAATCGAGAAATACTTTTATCTTTTATGTGACCATATGCCAATGCAGTCGGTCTACATATGTTGCGTCTACTTAAGGCCTAACTTGGACTGCAATCATGCATCTTGTGTTCAAGAATTGTGTGAGCTTGCTGAAACTACCGATACAGTCATAGTTTTGGGAGACTATAATCTGCCTAGACTATCATGGCAATTTGATGCCGACATGAATTCTTACATCCCGACCAACGCTTCATCTGAACAAGAAATCGCTTTGACCCAGTCGATCCTTGCATGTAGATCACAGCAGGTTCAGGATGTACGTAACGTAAACGAGAGATTACTTGACCTGGCTTTCGTTAGTGATACTGACAGAATCGAACTTTTCGAATCACCCTGTGGAATTTTAAAACTCGACGCTCATCACAAATCTTTAATCATCAAATTTGACTACCTTCGTAATACTGACGACGTTGGGCTGGACCGCTGTTATTACGATTTCAACTTCTGCAATGAACCCCTTATCAACGCCCGGATAGGCTCGATAGAATGGACGACGTTTTGACTGATTGTGACGTTGACGATGCTGTTTTCCGGTTTTATGCTGCCATTTTCGATATCATCCACGAATATACTCCTATTCGACGACATTGCCTCCGTGTTCACTACAATCAACCATGGTGGACCACGGAACTTAGGAACCTCCGAAACAGGTTACGGGAAGCAAGGAAACGTCTTTTCAAACGGACTGAGGAAAACAGGCGATTACTTCACGACATGGAGGAGCACTACACCAGCCGGTTGAACACAGTTTTCCATGAATATGTATTGCGCATTGAGTCGGAGGCAAAGCGGGATCCATCGTCTTTTTGGACCTACGTGAAGAAACTTAGGCGGAATGGCGGTATACCACTCGATGTGTCCTATAAAGAAGCTCGTGCTGACTCCGCGGAAGAAGCTTCTGATCTCTTCGCAAAATTCTTCAAGGATGTTTTTTCGACTACCCCTCCCGCTCATTCTCCGGATGATCGTCGTGACTGGATGAGCAGCATAGCTCATTACAACTTGCATTTGCCGCAGTTGGATGTGTCTGTTGAAGAGGTGATGAAAGTTCTTTCATCTGTAGATCCTTCTAAAGGCCCTGGTCCAGACTGTTTGCCGCCATCGTTCATTAAGAAATTTTCTGCATCTCTCGCTTCACCTGTGTCGATTATCTTCAATCGTTCGCTAGTTAGTGGTGTTTTTCACACAATGTGGAAGGTTGCGTCCATCACACCTATTCACAAAGCTGGAAACATCCACAACGTTGAAAATTATCGCGGAATTTCGATTCTAAGCTGCCTCCCAAAAGCTCTGGAGAAGATCGTATATGAGGTCGTATTTCAAGCGGTTAGGCCAATAATTACCGAACATCAGCACGGCTTCGTGAGGAAACGCTCTACAACAACCAACTTAATGGTGTTTGTCAACTCGCTGATCAACTCCATTGAAAAACGACGACAAGTTGATGCGATCTACGTGGACTTCAGTAAGGCGTTCGATAGGGTTCCACATGTGCTTGCAGTGGACAAAATGAGGTGTATGGGATTACCGAATTGGGCCACGAAGTGACTACAGTCTTACTTAACTGACCGCTCAGCCTATGTGAGCATTAACGGTGTTAATTCGCCTAGTTTCGAGATACCCTCTGGTGTTCCCCAAGGTAGCTATTTGGGGCCTTTAATTTTCATCCTGTTCGTGAACGACCTGTGTAGTCGACTGTGTTCTTCGAAACTTATGTTCGCCGATGACTTAAAGATCTTTCGTACAATTATCAAGACTTGACTGTTGCGCACTCCAGAAGGATATTGATTCCCTTTTGCGCTGGTGTACATTGAACGGTATGCAGGTTAATGTCACAAAATGCTGCGCAATATCTTTTAGCCGTTCACGCGAGCCCTTACGACATGACTATAGGATAGGACTCAGTAGTTTGCTCTTCGTTTCTTCAGTTAAGGATTTGGGTGTTATCATCGACTCTAAGGTCAGATTCAATGAGCACATCTCCATAATAACTGCTGAAGCATTCGCCACATTAGGTTTCTTGAAACGAAACACAACCGTATTCCAGGACATCTACGCGCTGAAATCACTATACTGTGCTCTCGTCCGCAGTCTTCTAGAGTATGCTGTTGTTGTGTGGGCACCCTTTCACGCTATTCAAGCTAACAGAATCGAAGCCATTCAGCGAAACTTCGTAAGATACGCTTTACGTGTTCTACCCTGGAACGATTCGGTAAATTTGCCACCTTACGAAGAACGGTGCAGGCTGATTGACCTGGACACGTTGACAGCAAGGAGGAAACTACTTCAGCGACTCTTCGTGTCTGGATTGCTTAACGGTGACGTGGATTGCAACTCTCTTGTGAGCCAAATCTACATCAATGCTCCTCAAAGAGTTCTACGTAGTTACACGCTTCTGTGGAAACCTACCCATCGGACCAACTATGGATTCAACGAACCGCTGTGCTGTCGTGTGTTTAATGAAACGTTTGATGTATATGATTTTAACATTAGTAAGTCTACTTACAGACATAGAATTCGACACCTAGCCTAGAAATATCTGTACAACATTATGTTGAAGATTTAATTAAATAAATAAAAATAAATAAATAAAGATCAATTTTTAACATAATGAAGTTGAAGTAATGAAATTGGGTTGTTAGCGGAATGCTTAAATAAAACAGCAAAAAGGGCTATCTTCCATTTAATTCCACTTAAATAATTTTGGTATCCATGACAGATACGTATTTCGATACAATGTGCAGTCTTAATCAGTGTCAAGATCCAAGCCTTTGGGATTTTTCCTTATTAGAGATTTGAATAGATTTGTCTCCTTTACTTTACTAAAACTTTTGGTTATTATTAGTTAGGTAGATTTCGATTCTACACATTGTAGTTTAATTTTTATACCTGTGATTTTGAAATTTTTACCTAGGGGATGCGTACTTAAGGGGGTTAGGTTTTTCATAAGTCTTTAGTGGGAATGACACTGATGATTCTCCCAGAAATTCCTTTAAACTTCTACCGAAAGTATCTACAAAATTCTCGCAGCAGCTCCTTTCGTTTTCCTCTTGAAGTTTCCCTATGGGCTTCTTTCGGAGGATTTTACCGACTTCTATTGAAATGTTTCCCAGGAATTTGTGGATATTTCTGATTTTTCTTAGCAGTTTCTTCAAACTTCCTATACAATAGCTTCTTGTTTCATTTTCTGGAAGTTTTTTCAGTTTCTTTCAAAATCTAATTCTAACATTCACCGGAATTTTTAAAAACAATCTGGCAACGCTAAACGCTACCCGATTCAGCATTGCCAGATATATCGATTTATCGGTATTTGTACCGATTTTCTAACATAATAGCGACATACAGATAAGGTTCCTCAGAATACTGATATTTAAGATTTTATAACGATTTAAAAAAAATCAGAATGTCAGACAAAACTATTGTGATAGACGTTTATTATTTAAGAATATGTTTATGTTTTTGAGTCTTGCTTCGAAAAGTTCTTATGCTTGATACTCTTTCGACTAGTGTTCCCATTTGCTCTCTATTTTTCCCAAACAGTTAATATACCTAACAGATGTAAATCTGAATCTTGAACTTTCCTGCAATGCCTTTTTTTAATAAGTAAGTACTGACTATTCAATGGTAGATAGACAAACATAAGACGAATCAAAAAGATGTAGATCATCTGTGCTACCATGTGAAGAAGAGGGTTAAGCACAAAAATATATAATAATTTCAGAAGAGATTTTAAGAAAATCCTACCGTTCCCAAAGGATATCATGATGTGAAGGAAGAAAGGAAAATCTCGCTAGTTTAGTAAGGTTAAAGATTTATCAAAATCCCCCTGCTCATACAGTGTATCTCAAAATTGATCGTACAGATGTCCTTAAATTTTAGAAAAAGCAACTTTAAAAGCACAATTTGAAAGGATACGTTTCTGAGTTTATGACTGCTGAATCATCTAAGATTTATCAATTATTGGTACAGTGTTGGGCTTATTTGGTTGCGTTTATTAAAAGTAAGAGCTATTTGAGAAAAACGCCTTTTTGTTGAACAACCTTAATATCTTAAAATATAATGAACTAAACTTTTTGAAATTTTGCCCATTTTTAGTCATAATAAAAATCATTCATATTCCATTAATTCTACTGAAATTCGTCCACTAGTTAAAAAGTTGAAAATCGTGATAAGTTCTTTAGTAGGAATGACACTGATGAAGACTGCACATTGTAGTCGAAATACGTATCTGTTATGGATACCAAAATTAATTGAGTGGAATTAAATGGAAGATAACCCTTTTTTGCTGTTTTATTTAAACATTCAGCTAACAACCCAATTTCATTACTTCATTACTTCATCGTGCGTTTTACTAAAATAAATCTAATTTCATACTGGTTATTCCAATAAAGTCCAAAACTAAAACGATAAAACATCATAAATCAATCAACCAATATTAAATAAAATATCTATTCAGAATGTTCCAAAAAATGCTCCACTAGGGTGTACGCTCAATTTTGCGATACACTGTATGTGTCGTATGCTGAATTCGTCAATACATTTTGGTCAGGAAGTGAAGTGGGCGCTTTTTTGCATAAAGAATATGAAGCTGGATGGTTTAGCCAAAACTCAGCACTCAAGAACTTTACGTACCCCCTCCCTGACGATAATAATAGGTGAAGGAATGATTGAAGCCGCAAGAAACCCTATTGTAAAGTCAACTTATTTTCATTATTTATCAAAAAGGTAGATTTTCGAGAACCAAACTTAAACCTAGCATCACTGACCGGTCCGGGATGGCCGCCGACAATTACTCACCTCTTTACTGAGCAGGCTGTCTATATTCGACAGCGAGTTTGCAGAGTCCCAAAACATGACGACTGTGAATCCCCGCTAGCCGGCGGTAGTGATGATGTTGATGATGATGGTGGTTTCTGGTGGTGCTGGTAGAAGTGATGTCTACTAATGCTACTACTACTGCCGGTGACTAACGGTGTCCAGATGTTCTTGCGCTCTTTGCCTGTACGCCGCCCAAAATAAACCCGAGGAAGAGAGAGAGGATCCTGTTTCCAATATATTTTTTTATATATTACTCGCACTTTGGCTACACTATTATGAACACACAAACACTTATTTTTTATTCGACTGCTTTTACTTTGCTTTTACACTATCTCACACGCACTTTCTTTGCGATGATATAACTAGTTTAAATTTTAATTTCATTCAATATAACACGTTGATGGTGATAACACAGCACTGAAATGGGAGAAAGAAGAAGAAAACAACAGAAATTGATTAGTGCTCGATGGTCAAAACGTCTTAGTTCAAAACAGAGACAGACGACGTACACGCATGACATGGTTTAGTGTGGATTTAGGTAGACGTCGAACTCCACACCACGCGGAATTAGTAGTCTAGTGCTAACAGAGAGAATACGGGAATCGAATAGCACTGACGGTTGGTTAATGAAGGATGAAGGGAGGGGGGAGGGGAGGGAAGCGAAGATGTCAGTCAGTCGGACGGAAAGGAATGCCTTCTGGGCTTATTTTTAAAACATCACAAAAATCGAACCCGACGAGTCAAGAATGAAATTACAGAAATACCACCTACTATAGTTGGGTATACAGAGTCACGAGCACCACCACCACAACAATAGGAAAATTGCCACTGGCTGGCAGCGAGTGCAGTGATTGAGAAGAAGAGACCGCTCGTTAGGGGTTGCTCATAAACCACATCTGGATCGATATTTGAGAGGATTTATAAAATGTCTACGTGATATATGAACAGCCCTTTGGTAGCTGAGCTACACACAACTGTGATGATACTCTCCCCATAATGACGTCATATTTATCAATCATTCAAGCGCGAATCACAATTCGTTGTCGTTGTCGTTATCGTTACCGACTGCTCCTCTTCTTGACAGAGTGGAAAGCCCCCAGCCAAGAGTTGGGTGAATGGGTAGGTAGGTATGGTGTTTTGAGTATAGTCTACTAGCATCCCATCTGTGTGTGCACAAGAGGGCGGTGTGAGAAGATACGAAGCAAGTGTGAACGTTGATGAACAAACAGCAGAAACCTCGACCTGCTCGGAAGTAATGAATGTTCGAATTTTTGAAATATTCAGTTCAGATGGTTGGTGGATGATATAGATGTACGTAACTGCTAGGAGCTGTGTTACATTTCAATCGGTGAACAAATTTGTAGTTAAAAACTGATAAGAAGGCGTCGCACGAGTTATTGATACGACCGCCTTCTAGGAAAAGAGAAGCCTGTCATGTACTCTAAGGCATTTGTTACATTTGCTTCCGACACTTGCAAAACAAGCTATCAAAGCACAGTACCAAACTAAAATGTCATATGACAGTCTATGTCGTACGACACTGTCACCGAAGCCCGTCACGTATTTATGTATTTTAATTTGTCTCATAATAAGAACTGCTAATGTCGTGCTTGGGTGAATTCTGATTCAATGCTTTCCCGATTTTGTCAGCCGCTTCTCAAATTTTAGGCTGACAAAAACGGGAAACTCCTCCTTCTCCCTCTCCCCATCCATAAAACTGTAAATTTCTACTAACCTCGAGACAACCGCGAGTAATCTGTTCAATTCCTTAACTCTAGATTTAAGGCATTAATTATGTTAAACGCAAATGCAGGGCTGTTACAAGATTTTATAAATTTGATCCGCGAAATCCGCGATTTCTCAAAAGAAATCCGCGACTTCAAATACTAATCCGCGACAAAAAAAAACTGTTTTCATTACCTAAAAGTACCATGTGTATACTAGGTAGGTACTACATGGCGTTTTAAGCTTATGTGTATATATAGCATATTAGATTTTAATCTGCTCTCAACTTAGTGTTCTTTGAAGTACTTTCACATTTTAATTGAGAGCTTTCTATGCCTGTACCATCCTATGCCCAAAAAAGTAGAGACATTTTCCAACTCGAAAAATTAATAGACCTGACGAGAAACGAACTCAGTCGCCTCCAGCATGGAGTTGCTTTGTAGCTGCGCCTTTACCGACTGAGCTGAAGGAGTATCGTTTGTAACCTAAAAAAATAACAATGTATCATCTTCAGTTATTTATGTATAGTATAAATTCTGAGTAATTACTGAACATAATAAAACACACTTACAATATGAGATTCTATTGAATATTACCGGCTTAGATTTGATGGAACATTATTTCAAAAAAAAATGCATTTTCATTTGAAATGAAAATTTTCTTGAAAATTAACCTTTGCGTCTCTGACGTATTTTGCTGGCCTAAATGTTGTAGTTAATTTGGCTCTTGTTTTCTCAATTTTTTACCGATTCAAACCAAACAGCCTGCACACAATCGAGAAATTACCAGAGTTTCATAAGTCACAGTTGTTGTTCACGTCGCGTTTCTGTATTTACACGGATATTCCCTGGGGTCTTTAAAATGGTAAGACATTTTCATGAAATTTTTTTATTCCAATATGTACCCAGCACCTTTTCGTTATCAAATCATAACCGAATCGTATATATGTGACATTGTATCATGCACGACTTATTACTACACTGATAAAATTGCAAATATTGTTTTTATGTGTCCCATACATGAATTTTTGCAATGTTATCAACAAATGATATCGATGTGTTGGACACATACTTAATATGTGTACACATAAAAGCCATGTGTAACTACACATACTATTCATTTGACTCATACATTTCATGTGTGCTTCTGGGTGGATTTTGTTTATGTGTGGTCACATGAAAATCATGTGGAATTTTACATGGAAATTCGTCAATAAAAATGTGTGGAATTCTATTAGTGTATGTATACCGGAAATTATAGGTTTTCCAAATCGTCCAGGACATCAGTTGATTTGTTCTACTAGATCAACCAAGACTGCAATAATGCTATTTCCGAGTAATCCAGATGTTCAAGATTCTTCAAATCGTCCTGGAGTTCAGATAATTTGATCTACTAGATTAACCGAGATTGGGACAATGTCTTTAGTATCGAAATATCTCCAGACAGATACACAGTGTCTATGTGGATCATGCATGAACTATTACCATGTATACCAGATATTTTAAGTTCTCCAAATCGTTCTGAAGTTCATTATTTTACTAGATCAACCATGACTGGATAAAGTCCGTAGTATCGAAATCTATCCAAACAGATTCATAATAGACACTATGATAATGTTAAATTATTTCCACGTATACCAGACGATCTAGGTTCTCCAAATCGTCCTGCAGTTAAGATGATTTTTTTTTTACTAGATCAACAAAGACTGCGATAAAATTGGTAGTATCGAAATATCGATTTGGAAATCCTAGAACATATGGCATACCCGGAAATAGGTTGGCATGATCCACATAGACGCTGCAAATTTGTTTGGGCATATTTCGATACTACAGGTATTTAATTTGTCTTTGTGGTCTAGTAGAAAAATAATCTGTTCTCCAGAATGATTTCAGAACCTATAACATCCTGTATACGTAGCAATAGGTCGGACACGATCCACATAGGCACTTTGAATCTGTTTGGACACATTTCGATACTACAGACATCATTGCAGTCCTGGTTGATATAGTAAAACAAATCAACTGAACTCCAGGACGATTTAGAGAACCTAGAATATCTGGTATAGATGGCAATTACTCGCATGTATACGATTCGTTTATGATTTGATAACGAAAAATGTTATGTTCATTTTGAAAATAAACAACCATGAAAATGTCTCACATTGGACAGACCCCAGTGAATCCCCGTGTAAATCCGGTGTAACTTATGGAATTGAGATCACCTCTCGATTATCTGCAGGGTGCCCGGCTTGAACCGGTTAAAAATTGAGAGCCAAATGAACAACAAAATGGATGCCAGCAAAATAATCCGGGGCGGAAACGTTACAATGAATTTCTTCCACAATTTTTGTGACAGCACATCAGTCCCTTCGCGATTTTCGCGACATCATTTAATGTTTCCGCGATTTTCGCGACTGAAAGTTCAAATCCGCGACAAATCCGCGACAAATCCGCGAAAATCGCGAAATCCGCGAAATTCGCGAAATCCACGCCTGTTGTAACAGCCCTGCAAATTATAACTTGGCTCTGTAAAGTTTATTCGATTGAGCCTGTACAAATAAATTAAAACAAAAAAAAAAAACGGGAAATTTTTTTCCCATTATTTTTTTGATCCAAATTATTACAGAATAATGAAATTGTTACAGGGTAAGGTGGAATAATACGCGTCATGAGTTAATATGATACAAAGCGCATATTTACGAGTTTTTCAAAATAAATTTAATAGGTTTTAAATTCACAATCACTAGAAGAGTTGTTGAACTATCATCTGGGAAGCTGTTTATATCAATTAGTCTTAAAATAGTACGTGAAAAAATGCTAACGCGGAACGCGTTTTAGCCCACCTCACTGCTGGGGTGTCACCATACAAATTGTATGGAGAAACTTAATGTCTTGACATTTTTCCTCATAACATTTTCATGACATTTATAACCACTGGTCGGGGTAGCCTTGAATGCCTTGGACAGAACATCTTTTTGTCTTTTTATTATTGAGCATTCGCAGCCCAAAACGCAAACCGGTTGGACATGAGTATGTCCGATTGGAATGAAACATTACCCACATGTTCGCTGCTACCAATGGTTGCATTTTTTTGATTAAATATGATTTATTTCTCAAGATTAGCCTTTGAAAAAGGTGTATTAAAAAAAAAGATCATTTTTTTTTTAAATCATCACATGAAAATGTTTGATTTGATCAAAATGATATCTGGAAAAAAGATGTAGGAGCGAAAGTGAGGATAACAAACTACGCACTTGAAAATGGGATTACGCATGTGTGCCTTTTATAAACGTCAGAAAGCTCAACTCTGTAAATCAAGGGGTAAGTCACTAAGCACATTGTGCCGGAATTAGATTCGGCACAGCTTGTGCACATCCATCGGCACACCTTAGGCACAATCTCTTAGGCATTGGATTGTTGTAAATAAAATGGAAGCACTGCTGGACAACTGTCATTGAAGTTGTTCACAGCATTACGTGCTGTTTGACTGTAAATTCAGGAATATCTCCTAATTGTACCTTCCTATACCAGAGGAACTCAGACCAGAAGTTAATCAGACCCCATTAGTACCCTTAACTCAAATAAAGCTGCAACTCACACAAAACAAACTACATAAGTCTAATCAGTCTTCTACAATGTTTCCCACTGGTAACAACTCTTTCCGGGCGCTGATAGTCCGTTGCTTTTCACATC